AGCCCAACCTTGCTCCACCCAGCCCTACCTTGCTCCACCCAGCCCCACCTTGCTCCACCCAGCCCTACCTTGCTCCACCTAGACCCAGCCCCACCCTGCTCCACCCAGCCCCACCTGCTGGCAAATCACTTACATCACTGTCAAGCAAGTTCCTCATTCCATTGTAGGCCAGTTCCTGGGATTCGTTGAACTTCTCTTCCGCAAACTTAATTTCTTCTTCAGAAATTGTGCTCCCTGTAACAGGGACCAACGGAAAAAGGACCAATGGAATAAAACCTATTAATAACACAAGAAATAGACACTGGTCATGACATGTTGAACGCAACTCCCCCGCATCATGCAGACATGCACATATCTGTCACCCTTCACCATGGGCTCGTATTCAAATGATAAAATGCTCTCCGAGCAGCCAAATAATTTTGTTAATCTTCAAGAGATTAGCTCTACAAGGACGGCCTTAAGATTGTCAAAAAGTTGCCCTGGGCTGCTCAACCAATACTTGACTTTTATTTGACTATACCACAGAAACTTTCATGGGACTAAAGTGTTTACTTTGATACTCATATACAAATATCCAATGCTGACTGAAACAGTTCCTCATGGGCCCTTCACTGTTAGTTACCAAAGAACTCTTCATGTAACAAACACTTATCTCTTACCACCATCAACAAATAACCCAGAGCAAAGACAGACATTTGTTAATAACTACACAAATGAAATCAAGTTTAATGTACACAAACAGGTGATACAAGGTGACGGGTCTAGAAATACTGACCGACAGCAATACATGTACCGGTACCTTCAAACGTAAATTGTTTTGCCGAAGTCAACTTAACTTAAAGTCAGCTTACATCTTCCCTAGACCAAGTTTATAATACCCCATATTAATCACGGGCTGATCCCGGATATTCCAAAAGGAGGAGGGGGGGTGGGAAGGGGGCATAAACTAAACATGTAAGGGTCGCTGCCGTAAACGTAGGAGGTTGGGTAACCGGAAGCAGAACTTGTTTTTTACGCCTTTGTCACATTAATGGGGCTGGACCCTCCCTCTGTTTTTCTCCTCTATTTATTTACATATTTATTTTTGGGTGAAAAGGGGGAGGGGCATGCCCCCATGCATCTGCCCCTGATAATTTGCTCATTCTTTGTGAAGGAATGAGTTTCATAACTACTTCCTGATGATATCAATGAAATAAGAAGCTTTGCTCATTAATATGTATGAGACATAATCATTAGGCACTAAAGAATATAATCTGAGGCTGTGAGTGTAGAGTATTTCCTATAGAAGCTACTGAAACCAACGTCATTCTTTCTTACGTCCTTCTGTGCATCGGGCCTTTGACAGAACTTAAACAAACTCAGAGAAAACAAGGGCTCTCTGCCAGTAGGGGGCACCATTCTAGTCCGGTGCTTGGCTTTGCAATGGGGCATAGTTAAGCTTTGAAATGGATTTACGGAACAAGAAGCATGATTGCTTATCAGGTAATTCGTGGATAGAGGATGGGCATTCCCTGTCTCAAGAATGGTGCAAGGTAGTTGCTAGGTAACCAATATATTGAGGATGACTATTCTCTGTGTCAGAGATGGCAAAGGAGAGAGTGGAGAGTTATATGAAGTTGGACAGGATGGATGAGGTGAAGTTTGGTAGAGGTGAAAGGCATGGTACAGCAAAGTGGGGCTTGATGGTTGGGGCATTCTAAAAAGTGGAAGGATCAGGGGAGATTTGTAAGGCAAGGCATGGAGCAGGGTGGTGTATGGGTGGGACATTTTTGGAGGACTAGAAAGAGCAAGGTGGACTTAGTTAAGAGGACATTCTAGGAAATGGAAGGATAGAAGATGAAAAGTCATGTGCACAGCAAGGTGGGTAGTTTGGGTAAAGTATTCCAGGAGAGGTGGAAAGATTCATGAAGAAATATTTTTATAAATAGAGATGAGGCAAAGAGCAAAAGTTTGTACACGATGTGAACTACATGTACTGTTCTTCAAACAAGACGTGTGTACAAAAGACTTTTGTTATGCCATATAAGAAATAGGTTTGCGGGTACACCATGGAATCAATCTCTTTTGGACAAGGTGTGGTTCTAAAAAGAACTGGTGAGAATAAACTCAACGTTTCGGCCAGTGTGCTCTGACCGTTGTCAGGAGAATCCTGTTCCACACTCCACTGCTTCTGGGTTACCTTTGTAACCAGCCATCCACTCCAGTCCGGCACACTCTCCTGAGGATGGCCAGAGCATACTGGCCGAAACGCCGAGTTGATACTCACCGGTTCTTTTAAGAACCACACCTCGTCCAAAAGAGACTGATTCCCGCAAACTCATTTCTCATGTTTCATCCACCATGCAAAGCATCAAATCTTACTTATGCCATATACCTCTACATGTATACATGATACAATTAATTCTACTATAGTCCATTTGTATAAATGACCTAACCAATGCAACTGATTACAGAAATCATTGCCAGTTGAAATGGATCGCCTGTTTACAAGTTCATGTCGATGTACAAGTAGGTAGAACTATTAAATCACAGTACAGGTACGCCTCCACGTTCAGATTAAAACCCCTTTTATTTGTGTTCCATGACATGCATTTCATGCATATTATCCTTAAGGGTAGAATGAAAATGTCTTCCAATTCCATTTTTCCAAAGTGGAGCTGTCCATATCAGCGGCAAATTTGCAAACAGCAAAGTGAAAATGCTCTGTTGAAAGTCTTTGTTAGTCTCCAGAGACACGATGTTAGCTTTTGACAGGCAGGATTTTTGAGAATGAAAACAGTACATAAGCCAGTTTCAACAGTACATTCACATGATGTGTGAAATCAAAATAAAGGAAGTAACGTGCACAAACCACATGCTGCTCGCAGACCATGCCATTACACTGGGCACTCTATGAACTAAACTACAGACAATTCAAACAGTACACAGACGAAAGCAGGCTCAAGTTAGGTTGATCTATTTTCAAATGGAACCAAATAAACAAAGCCTGAACACCTATTATAAAGTAGAGATCAGTTTGTCGAACACTGTTCACTTTTTGCCAAACTTGGTGTGGAAAGTGCTCAGCAGAGCAGACGTATTTGTGCTCAGCAAGTGAAACCATACCCAGAAAACATGCGGCACAATTCCAATGCAACTCAATTTAAAATAGCATAAATACTTTCTGTTCGATTTCAGTTTGTGAGAGAGTAACCCAGTCTGCATGATATGAAGCTTGGTGGTGAAAATTGTAACACATGCACTAAAACTTTACTGTTATTAGAACTTTGGTTCTAAAAACAGTAAATCCTTCATGTGCACTGTTTCCAGAAGCAAACAGCGTGTTTGAGTCAGCTATGCTGACTGCATACTCTAACATATAACATTTAAGTTGGTATCCAGCACTACATTATATCTCTAAAGTGCTATGCTACAAAATCTTTGTTGACATACCACCTGCTGGTGAGTGGAACCAGTGAAAGAGATCATCAAGGTACATGGAAAGTAAAATAGAAAAATGATGTCATCACAGGATATCAAGGCCACAAGCAGGCAGCATACTTGTAGAAAGCAAAATAGGCTTGTATAAAATAAATAATGACCATCTTTTGGAACACTGGCTGATTTTTTTCTTAATTCAATCAAACCTACTTGAGATCCAGCTTGAAAAAAATTCTTGTAAGCACTTTTTGTTTGATTTAATTTGGGGACATATTCTTTCAGAAGATTTTGAAATGCTCCACTAGTTGTTTAGAGTACATACATCGGAGATTCCGGCTCAGGACAATTGGTCAAGCACAACTCTTTACAGCACTAATTCAGTGCAATAAAAGTACAATGTAGGACTACAGGGGATAGTCATACAAATAACGTACATAAACTAAGAAACCTATGGATTGCTGCATGAATCCACTCACTGGTAACAATGTCCAAATCATCTGGCTAGGGCTTGGAGTTACACTCATGTCTATGGGAGGGGGTTGAAGCCACTACATGTATCTACCAGAAGTGGCTTCCATAAGCATGTAATATACTCAGCCACAGCTGTATCAGTCAGCCCATTATATAGCTTTTTAGACCACATTAGTCTTGCGCCATCCTATCTGTGCATGCCCCACTCTTGAGTGTGCTTGCTTCACTTACACAAAGATGTTGCATGTTTGTGCACATTCCGATGAAAATAAATCACATCTGACATCCATGTGAACCTGACTGTGTACACAATGTGTCCTTCACTGCCTCTTGCGAGCTGGGCCACACAGAGCTGTTTACAATACACATTTCTTGCCCACAGTCTCTGAACATTCTTAACAACACACAAGTCTACACATACATGTACATGATTTGAACTTTCTCAGGGTCCACTGGACAGGATGCTGCGTAAAGGCATGTTATACCTTCTAAGGACCTGTGGACAAAGAGGTCCTCATACCGCCAGGAAAGAGGACCAACATGTACAAGGTTAACATCTGTCTCTAGTTTTTCTCAACTACATAAAAACAAAGGAATGTCGTCCACAGACAGTACTGGTAAGTAACACAAATGTGCACGCCTCAACAATGGGGGAACACAGGAGAACATGATCTCCCTCTAAAGCTCAGCTCTCTGGTCAGTTAAACAAACACTTCTTCCACATTATCACAGCTATTCAGGGGATGCTATGCACAACATAAATGGAACATTCCTGACAAGTCTGGGATCCGAGATTAACGACCTACCGACCAAACCGGCTAACACTGATGAAAAGATGACATGCGGTGAAAAAAAAATAGAAGATACAAATAAAAAGTGAATGGTCAACACCTGATAATGAACTGAAAGCACAACTCTCACAGACACTGTCTTGATGTACATACAATTGCCTACGATGTCAACTTGTATTTTGTCAATAAATTGTGCGAGAACAGATTCCACTTATGGCTCCCAAGTCTGCATGGTGGACATAAAGTCAAATCTAAGTCTATTACTAGCTAAATAATCATGCTAGGCCTTCCTTTTCTCAAGAATTTTTACCATAACAGTGTCTCAAGCTCATCATTTTCAGCATGCAAACTAACAGTAAGAATTAATTAGCTGCTGATATAATGATTAACTTGTACAAAGGAGGAAATAATTCATGAAATGAAAATAACTTTGGAAGTTGGATGGTTTCTGTTCTGTTAAGTAATAATTCATGGGAGGTAAGCAGAGTTAGGCTCCATTTGTAAGTTATGGCTTTGTGCAGCAATTACACATGTGTCTTTGGGAAGTGGCTAAGGGCACAAGACAACACCTTGCACAGACCCATGTGTTTTTTGCTAGCTGCCCGCAGCCGAGTGACTAGTTCTTACCTTTGGCCTGTTTCTTCTTTTTGTAGTCATAGTCTAGACGTCGCCCTTCCATCTTCTTGCGATGGTGCTGCCAAAATTAAACAATGATGACCCAAAACGTTATCATGCATAAAATTGAATCTGCTGACATCATGCCATACACAATGACACATTTGTATTTAAGCAAAATCAGGCCGCCAAGCCCTGGTTAGTGAGTTGAAACATGGGCCCAAAATGCCAACTTTTTTAAGACTTTGAATTAATGAGGAGAGAACTCACGTTGATCTCTTTCAGATCTTTGTTTTTGAGGTGATCCAGAGGGTCCAGGAAGTTTTGTCTGACATTGAGATCAAAGGCATCCTTGATCTCAGACAGTTGCCTCAACGACTCGCCCATGTCAACCATCGCCACACCTGCACGGTACAGAAAGTGTAAGGTGAGAAAATGCCAACAGTAGCTTACATGCTGATCGTGAACTTGTGAACACGATGTGAGCTTTCCCTAAATAAATCTCAGCTTCATTCCCTGTTTCGGCAAATTTTCACAAATTTTATCTTGAGTTGAGATCGCTTGACTTATGCAGCTCTCTTGTTGTCTGCTGCAAGAACACCGATCTGTCCAATGTGAGACCAGAATTAGGAGTGTCTCATTCTGGTCCCAACAATATTATTAAAACAAGTTCAACTAATGACAGAGGGTAAGACAAAGCCACGAATGGAGACAAATGCCAAAATGTGGGAAAAGGCCATGATTGTGTTCGTTCTTGAGGACTCGTGCATAGGCGACAGATGTGCTGTGGAACCTTACAACTAAAGTAGGAGAGAGGGCAGTACGTTCTCTTAGCCTGATGCATGCTATTTAGACATGAATTGAGAATGCATGCTACTGTATGAATACAGAGGAAGCTGGTTCCCAGAACCCCATTGTAGTACTAACTCTAGACGGACAGATGGAAACTAGACTGCGTGCAGACATCTGTGATGCTAGAGATGGTTACTATGTTTGAAAAAAGTTGTTTGAACTTTTCAGCATCCCGGGGTCTTATAGTCTCAGACCAGGAATTCTTTACAGACATGAGGAACAGGGGTAACGACGATGTACCACCTGTCAGCATCACATTGCTGGATGCCAGTGCTTTATGTGAGGGGCTCAGGAATGACAGGAGAAGAGAACTGATCTGAAGGGCTCCTCACCAAATGATGAATCCTCTCCAAGGTCTCGGCCATTCTTCAGCATCACTTCGCCCAGGAAACCCACGGGTTGCAGGGGTTTGTTGCCTCCCTTGTCTTTACCGCGAACCTTACTCATGGCTCTCGAGACTGTAAGAGGATGGAAAGTGGTTAAATGAATGCTGGAAGTTTGCAAAATTGTGGAAAATATTCATCCGTCAAATCTACCAACTCTCTGCACATTTCTGTCCTCGCAAGCTTCCTCAATGTCGTCTGAAAAACTTATTGAAATTGTAGATGCTTGAAGGGTATTAAAATAGAATAGCTGAATTTTATTATATAGGGAACTTGTAAACCAGTAAAGGTCTGCATGGTCCAGAAGAACTGTCTGATTAACAAGTGGGGTATATTTCTACAACACAAAGTAATGTTTGGATCTTACCTGGGTTGGGTTGAAGGTATTCTGTCGTCTTGCCCATAAGGTCATCCAACGCATGGCCCGTCACATCAATTTTCTGATGGAAAAGAAGACAAAGTTGCAAAGTAGCAGGCAGTCAGTAAGCGTACAAAATCTGCTTCGAAGC